GAAAAGTAACTCCCTCAAGTCACAGGATGCCTTTGAGTAAGGGCAAGATGAAAGCAGAGAAGTTGGCACGATGCTTTCCAATCCTCACAGCAAAGCTGAAATACACAACCGCTTTCTTCCTGACACCAGAAATTCCATTCAATGCAAGAGATTGGGATCCCACCATCCAGCTGAACACCAAGACTAACCTGGCAGAGTGCGTTACAGGTCTGCATCACTCCGGGCTGCGGCTGTCTCTGAAGGAAAGTGGGTTTGCAGCTCCTGCTTCTGCTCGGCCAAACTTGGGGTCCACACAGAGGAAATCCAGGCCAGGAGGCAGCAGAAGTCACAAACTCTGTCCCAGACCTGGACAAGGTCACCTGTGAATATCCCAGGGCACATGACCTCAAGTCGATTTGGATGCAGTCGCAGGGGCCTCAGTTCTGCTCGTGGGGAAGCAGCAGGCTCAGGTCCACAACCGGGCAACAGGTCCCTTTGCCAAAGAGTAACCAGAATATCCTGTTCCAGAGAAAAAGAAGAGGTAGGAGGACAGCAAAATCTGAACTGTATAGAAACCACTCCACAGCACCAATGAGCATGGATCAGCTGTCTGAAATCCCCCTTCTAAGGCATTTTTCCCCAGCCATCTACATGGAATTTACACAATGATAATGTCACGCTGCACAAAACAAAATGTCATTTTCCAAGCAATGATGAAGTGATATTTGAAGTCTCCTCTGATACAGAGAAAATGAATGGCAAGGCCTGAAGGAGAAGAAAAAGAAGCCCCTGAGCTTTCCATGCTGCTGTCGAAAGGTGCATTACACCATTAACAGCAAACCCCGATTTACATCCTGTAGTTAGATCCATCTTTCAGGAACTGTTTCCACAGTACATCCCATTCACAGGAATTAGGCATGCCACAAACACCCCAAGAGCAACCAGGCAACGAACAGATCCTTTGGAAAGTAACCACAGAGCTAGAAAGTTATGTTCTCATATCAAGAATTCATCACGAATGGTGCAGTTGAGACAAGGTTGTAGCTAACTACAGGCAGGAACATGAAATGCTAACAATATTACACACCTCATCTATGCTTCCAACAGGAAAATGACTCTGCAGAGAGGATCTCATTTATACTTGCAACTCCAGGTCACATTATCCTCACTTTATAGCTGAGGAAAAGGTGGATCTGTCAGCTGGCCTGCCCAGCGACACAGAGGATCAGTTGGGATCACATCGAGGTGCATGGTGCTGTTGGAAAGGGCCTCAACACCCAGTGCAGCCACATGGGGCTGGCAGATGTGGCACAGGACCCCTGGGAGATGTGCAGCAGCTGGAGGCCATGCACAAGACCCAGGGGCATCTCAGATACATCTGCATGACCAAGCGAAGCAGGCCTGGGGTGACTGCACACGATGCCAGCTTTGACCTCTGGGTGCCTGTCTCTGAGTACAAGATCAAATCCAGCCATGACATGATGTTTCCTATTAGATGATTCCCCAAGAAAAGTACCACAAGCAAAGAGCTGCAACAGCACCCTTCCTTTTTTAGTTATAGTTAAATACCTGAAGCAGTTCAGAATTTGTGGCTGCAAAGTCACTGTTAAATGAAGGTTTCTGCACTTTAAAACACTTAAGCATATGCTTAGCTGGATGCCTGTAGCTGGCTGCATTGACTCACGCAGAGATAAACACATGCTTAAAGATAAGGCGAGGTTAAGTGTCCTTCTGGAGCAGCAAAGGCACACACAGCACGACCCCAGGTCCCACTGCACCTCCTCAGTCACCCATGCACTTGAACCCGTGCTGGATGGCTCACACTGGTGTTACCCCGCCTGGGCAGGGAGCTGGTGACGGTGTCTGGGCTGCTCCCTGCCCCGTGAGTGTATCCCAGTCTGTGGAGTCTGCAGGATGCTCAGGTAACCTGACAGTGACAAAAAACACACAGTTATTAGTGCTGGATCCCCCCTTCAATTGCCACCGCTGGTTTCTGCCCTGGCCACAAGGAGCTTTGTGACAGAGGCAGCGCTGCCCTCCTCTATGCGGCTGCTTTTAACTCTGAACAAACAGCTTTTCATTCCAAACCCCCCATCCCACCAAACCCATCTCACTTCAGCCTTCTCGCAGCTGAACCCACTTAATGCCTCCCTTAGACACACTACCACTTTTGAGGCCAGTGTGCAGGCAGGGGGAGGCATGGGCCACTGACAAAAGCCCTCTTCTGCGCCGGCAACACAGCCGGGCATTCAGCTGCCAGTTCGGAACAGAGCAGGGCAGCCAGCTCCGTATGTTCCTTGGCAAATTGCAGCTAAATTAGGGCAGCTAATGCTGCACAGTTCACTGGCCAGGATCAGCATGCTCAGTCATATGCATAAGCCCAGATTTCCATGTTTTCTAAGACCCTTTCAAGGTCTGACTTGCAAAGTTTGTAGATTCGTCTTTGTCTACGTGCAGTTGTTGTTGTCACTGAAGAGCAGTTCACATGCAGCACGGCTCAGTTACGTTCTGACTGACTCCATTATGCTCAGCAAGGTCAAATATAGAAAAATTCCAAGTTGTGGCTCTAAGACAAATCATTAAAACATCCCTCTCCCTCCTTCACATACTCAGAGCACATTCCATCGCTGGAAAATAAGAAGCCATCTCACTCAGACTGGAGGAATCCACTGGATTTAATAGATTGTTTTTTCCAAACTGCATCCAAAACCAGAGAATGACAATACAAACCCAAGTTCTGTTCAGGATTTCTTCTCCCAAAATCTCTTCTGAACGTTTCTTTCGGAATGGCCTATATTAAGCCAAAGCAAAAGAGCATTTTAAAGTAATGCAGGTATCATTTCTTCAAAAGGAAAAATCAAGCCTGATACTTTGAAACTGAATACAGTCACCAACATGAACATTTAGAGCTGGAACAGACATCCTCTACTAAGAACAAACACTCAGTTTCAAAGAAAATGTGCACTTTATACACAATTAAAATGAAAACAAAACCCCAGTAAGAGAAACAGCTCCATTACTTTGCATTTTCAGAATGAATTCAGTTGGAATATTCTACCCACTTGGCTCACTAAGGGGAGCATTTACTGGTGGGGACAGAAGCTCACAGGACTGACCCAAGGCAGCAGCTTGAAGCAGGGAAGAGATCGCATCATGAATCGGAGAAGGAGCTGTCACAAACCCGTTTTATTGGAAGCCATTGCTAAGGAATGGCTGCAGTTTGTGTAGAGAGCAGCAAAGGGAAAGGATTTTCACTTGGTGCCACTGAACTGGTGAAAGGCTGTTCTGAAACCACCACAAGCAATGTCCCTCTTTTGGGAAGCTGAAAAGAACCACCCCAGTGTCCAGGATTATGAGTGGATTGTAACCACCACCCGTTTATCTCCAGGCTCCAAATG